GGCTTACTGTGTGGAAGGAAGTCTCAGCTGCGTATCTGTCATTCTGAAGTGCTCACACTTCCTTTTCAAGCTTTTACACTTCTAATGTTTATCTTACTGCAATACAAGAACGGTCGTGCAAATCATCCAAGAAAAATGAACCACCAACTAGAAACAAACCATAAGACCGTACAGAAATCCCTGCATAGGTACGTCTTCTATGAAAAGTTCCACTCCATCAGAGATACACAATCTGAGCACAAAAAGCTTTTTTTTTCTCTACATGTTACAGGCAGTGTTTTCTGCTAAATAATTAGCACACTGTCACAGGTCTCATATATACCCACTGCTATTGTGTCTAGATTGCAGAGCACCGAGGTGAAAATGGGAGCGTGCTCTCAGGCCCGTATCAGCACTTTCAAGAGCAGTGGGTCGAGACCCTGACATCCAGCAGCACGATGGACAGCAGTCGTGACACAAATGGCCAGATTTAATCAACTGTTTCTGCCTCACGTCAGATGAGCCTGGGAAATGTGCATGTTGTTGTTTATCAGCGAGGTGCACTGGCCTTGAAGGGCAGTTTTCCGCTCAAGTTCAGTACGCGTCTGTCATTTAAGGTAGGATTACAGAAATGACATTATAGTGTATTTGCGAGTTTGTGCAGTTCATTCGTTAGGTCTGAAAAGCATGAGCATTTTTATTTAGGCTAAACTGTAGAGTGGAAACTGAACTAGCCACTTTGATTTAAAAACAGAACCATAATAATATAAATACACAAAGACTGACAAGGGAGTTGAAGCTGTGCCATTAACTTAAAACTTGAATTTGATCTTGACTTCCACTGAGCTACTTCTGCAAAGTGGATTTTGTCAGCTCCCTGGTGGGCTGCAACGAGAACGGTGGATTGTACTTTTTATATAATTATGACTTGTTTTTTTAATCTTTTTTTTTTGTCAGTGCTCTTTCTCTTGGAAGACAAGTCTATGCCAGTACATCACTATTAGTTTCAGCATTGCTGGAAGTCCTTTTCTTCTGACTTGTCCTCTCAATCTAGTAATCTTCTGTGTTATTTCACTAAGACGCACCTAACAAATATGCCAAGAAATACTTCACACTATGTTGTTTTAGATGGTGCCTGGGACGAAAGTGTGCCCACTGTTTGTCTTTGTGCTGGGAAGAAGTAATTAAGCCTCTGGCAGGAAACGTGTTGTCAGGAGTACAAATTAAATACATGGATGGCTTGGTGTAGGTGTGTGTGTGTGTGTGTGTGCGCAGAGTGAACGCAAAATTGCAAGAGATTAGGAAAAAAAAAGAGTTAGAAAAGGAACAGAGAAACTGAACTTTTCACTCTGACAAGAGGATCTGCTTCAGTATTTACCCTCTGATGTTGTAGAAAGAGGCTTGACAACCTGTCATCTCCTACCCAACACCTATAATAACCCTGACAGCAGGGTCCGGGAAGCTGTGCAGCCTAGGACACTGCCAGTTTGCTGCTTTGGAGGATATCAGAAAATCTACAGTAAATGACACCCCAGATGTGATGGAAACATCTGCAAAGCCTAAGTAAAATCTTGAAATGACTGTTTGGGTTCCATACTGACCCAATCAATTACATTACTAAGCTTTCAACACATGTCTGTAAAGTATTCCAGTGATGAATAACTGAGAGAGGAACCATGAGGTTACTGAAACCAATTTAAACCAAGTCTGTGACATAAATAAATAAATGAATGAATGAATGAATGAATGAATGAATGCATGAATGAATGAACGAATGAATGAATGTCTTCAGGTTTACCTACTAAAGCAGAGCTGTCAGAACACATTTAAAACTAAAACATTCTTCATTTTAATGGCATTGTCTTTGGGTCATTTCTTAATATAACATGATTTGCATGCTTTAAGCTTCCCCCTCCCCTTCCCTTTTGTCTGACTTGTCAATCACAGACTAAATGCTATTTATGTAGCCAAAGTTTCACTTTGTTGCCAGTTATTTTTGTTGCCACTACTGACTCAAACATGCACCAGCTTCCTTCCAAATACACACACCCCAACACTGTGGCTGATTGCAACAAGCATGGCACAATAACACAATGCACTTGTCAGAACAAAAAAATTACCGATATTACCACAGACTGCAGTGCAGGGACTTCTGTGCAGCTTTCCTCGCCGTTAACCAGGAGCACAAAATGCCCAAGATTGATCTGCAACCTCAAATGCACCCCAGTATTTACAATTCCCACTGACAGACAGAAAGAGTGGTGATTATTAGACAAGCTAACCAAAGTTCACCACCCTGTCTACACATTTTAATTTTATTCTTCCCTCTGTCCCTGTAAAAACTAGAATATGGTGTCTTTTGCTGCCCACAGGTCAGAGTCACAGCTGCTGATAAAACGGGCTTCTGACATTTTGTCTTGCTGGGAGCAACCACATGCTAACATAGACGTTTTTCACTCTATTGTGTGTGTGTCCCTTTGTAACTGTTACCAGTTCATCACAGAGCACTAAGTATTCTTTATCATGGGACAGATTGTGGCTCATTGTTTCTTTGTCATAGAATAGCATAAATTACTCTTGTTGAAAGCTATTCTGCCTCCTCATTGCCTGCCCTGCTACACAATCATACTCGTGTAATTATTGGCAAGAGAGTTAAGAGAAACAGATGATGGTCTGATGTTTGATGACACCGATCAACTCAGGGACTACAAAATACTGTGGCTAATTTTACTCTTGTCAAAAACTCTTTGTCTCTGTTCTGCTGTCACAGTATCTGTGAGTAGTAATATTTAGATCACTGCTGACTGGTGTGTTACACCATTCCATTTTTGTCAGTCACGTTATACTTCCTTTTATTTATTTCATGCTGCTTATATGCTACCAAACACTCAGTTCTTTCCCTGACCTTAATTTACCGTAGTGCTTCAATCAACCCTCACATGAGCTGGAAGACACTGCTTGGTTGATGCAGTATTGACATGTATGTTTTCTCTGTGATTGGTGCAAGTGATTGACGGTCAAATATAAAGTGGCCTCTTTATTTGTTCCTTGAGCCCCTGTAGCACCGTGTTGTCAACGATATTGAACAAAGACAAACACAATTGATATTGATGGAATTATAAGGTCACGATCCGCTCGATGTTTTTTGGGGGGCAGAGAAAACACTATAAATGTGGAAGAAGAATGTTTTAAATGGTTCTTGTGCTCAACATATTTGGTGACTTGGGACAAAGTAATAATTAAGTCAAAAAATTGTATAAAACTCCAAAATAAAACTTATTGTTCAACTGTAGCTGGCGTTTTAAAGAAAGGAATTGAACTCACAACTATTTTATTCAGCACTCAAAATGAGACCGCAGGTACCCGCAAGAGGATGTGATTGGGAGTGTGTTTATGTGCTCTCTTGCCTCAGGCTTGTTAAATTGGCAGATCGATGATGCTTTAAATCAGTGTTCCAGCACCACCGCAAACCCCATGAAACCCATTAGTGAATTAAGGTAGACCACTGTTCCACACTGAGTCCTGTTCTGCCTGCAGGTCCTTTCCACATGACAAATGGGAGGAAAAACTGTGAAATAAAACAAAGGAAAAGGGCAAACAAGAGGGTGAAAACAAAAGCTGTGGCAGAGGAAAGGCTGATAGCAAAAGCTGGGGTTAATGCTGCTAGTAAGGACACACTTGGAGCTCTTCTTCATTTAGTCAATCAGGGATTAGTTCTGTTTCTTACTGCATATCAAGCAGACGTCTTCCCTTGAACCAACCAACACTTTGTATGATTCCTTCCCATGCACAGGAGAGCATCCAGCCAGCCATGAATAACATGCTCTACATGCAAAGTAGTCTGTCTTCGCCAGTAAACTGAAAAGGGAACAGAGTAGGAAGGGATGTGAAGGATATCGGAGAGAGAAGGAGAAAGAGGGGGTGTGGAGCGAGGATGCCAGGGGAGCTGGTCTTTCTCTGATAGCATTGTTTATGTGGCACTGTCTGTGGATCATTGATCCATTCGTCTTCATTACGTCCCCCTGTGAGAACTATTAACCGCTGCCACCCTCAGTTGGGTGCCTGCTATGTTGACATGCACCACACGCTCTTTCTCCCAGTCTACCAATGTCCCTGCCACCTCTTCACTCGGAGGTAGAAGCTGACAATTTTGTACCGCTTGTAGAAAAAACAAGACAGAGGATTTAACATTGACGTTTGATGGATCTGCACAGGCTGGAGTTGTCTTCACAGGGTTGGTTGTAGATGATTGAGGAACAACTACAGACAACATGTGGTATATGTGACACCTTAAACCACAGGTGTGCTGGTTGACTCCTGTTTATTTGCACATGCTTCATCCTGCAAGCTTTGTTTCTGACCTATATAATGTATGTTGCGTAAGAATGAATCAAACATCCACCCACTCATGCTCATGAGAGAAGGTTACGTATTTGCAACAGAATTCAGCATTGTATAGGAATTGTAAGAAATAAATCCCCACAGGTTTGCTAAAATCTGTACAGTTCAGGGATACTTTGCTGTGTAAGCACTCATACCTGCAAATGTCCCCCAAGAGACATCCTGCTCTGAAATCCTCTCTGAACTGCTAGCATTGTCTATATGAAGCATGCTGCTGTCTAACCGCTGAGCCCAGTGAGGCATCATGGGTCATCAGCAGCAGCTTCAACTGCACCCTATGCCTCCAGTCGACTGCCAAGATCACTTTCACCTCCCTGTGTCAACTCGTAGCTTCTCTTCACTTGTGAAATCTGACAAGTTTGACTTGTACTTGTTGCACAGTGTTATTTTTGAGTAAATATGAGATGAGCTGACTTCTAAACTGCTTGATCATTCTCTGTCCCCTGTCTGTCTTTCTCCTCTTTTTATTTTTTCTGTGTTTTTTTTCTCCCATAGATACAACCACGCATCTGGCTGTCATCTTTATCGCTGTCTCATTTGAGCCAGAGGAAAAGGAGACATAGAACATGGTCTGGCGTAGAGGTCGCTGTTGCTATGTGTGAAGGACTGCTGTGGCATCAATGGAGACCGAAGGCTATCGAGACCTCCTGGAGACCAGTGACGGTCAGGGGGTAGGCCTGCTGGATGGAGGGGGAGAGGTGGGTGTGGAGGAGGGCTGGAGCACACCCTACCCTCTGGGATTCCAGGTGTCTTTGACCACTGTGCTCATGCTGGAGCTTGTGTTGGGCTTCAGCAGCAACCTGACCGTACTTGTGCTCTACTGTGCTCAGTCCAACCTGGTGGATTCAGTCAGCAACCTGGTAACAGTCAACCTCCATGTGCTTGACATCCTGGTCTGTGTGCTGTGTCTGCCACTGACTGTGGCTGTGATCCTGCTACCATCTAATGAAAGTGGAGTGGGCAGTCTGGCGACACTCTGCTGCTTTCATGAGGCCTGTGTCACATTCACCAGTGTGGCCACAGCAGTAAATGTGTTAGTAATCAGTTTGGACCGATACGACATCTCAGTGCGGCCAGCCAGTCGCCTGCTGACCCCCAGGCGTGCTGCACTGCTCCTGGCAGCGGTGTGGGCTGTGTCTCTAGCTGTTTTCTTCCTGCCCTTCCTCGAGGGGGACTTCTTCTCTTCGAGGGCTGAGGATAGTGAGGATGAGGAGCCAGAAAGGCAGAACAATGACTCTGAGCACACCACTGGAGTGACCCCTGTTTTTTCCACCCTCTCACCATCCTTATTACCCTCCACTCACCCCTCTTCCCCTTCACACCACATGCCTCCAGGATGGCAAAACAGGACACTGCTGTGTGTTGGAGGGCAGGGGTATTACACGGGCCTGGCTATGTATTACCACTTGTTACTCCAAGTGCCCTGCTTCTTCATTGCTGTGGCAGTCATGTTGTTCACCTACTCCAGGATCCTACAGGCCCTCAACATCCGAATTGGCTCTCACATGATGAGGAGTACACGTGCAAAGGACTCCACCTGCAGAATACGCTGCTTGAGGCAAAGGAAGAAGGACCTGAGTCTGCCCACAGAGGTAGTGTCCTCCAACCAGAATCAGAACCTCAACCATCCTCCCCTCATCCCCTCCCCCACCCCTACACCAACATCACCCCCACCGCTCTCATCAATGCCCCAAGGGATGTCTGACAGTGGCGCAACAGTCACCACTGTCAGTACTGCTGCCACCACTCCCATTGCCACCACACCAGCTACCCCTGCTTCTCCAACTCCACCCACGGCCTCAGCTCAGACCCACGCCAACACACCTCTGCCTGCCTCCTCCATGGGTGTCCAGGCCTCGGTTTCAGCCATCATCGCCTTGAGGCGAGCAGTGCGCAGGCACAGGGACCGTCGGGAACGTCAGCGCCGCGTACTAAAAATGTCCCTAATCATCATATCCACGTTCCTGGGCTGCTGGGCCCCTCTGTCTGCCGTCAATGTTCTGATCCTGTGTATGGGTCCCAGTGACGGCTTGGTCCGGCTCCGTCTGTGCTTCTTGGCGATGGCTTATGGAACCACTATCTTTCATCCTCTGCTCTACGCTTTCACCAGACAAAAACTGCGCCGTGCCCTCAAAACACGTGTTAAGAAAAGGGTTGTGTCGCTTCTGCAGGTCGACCCATCCCCCAGTGGGGGGACAGTTATTCATAACTCTTGGGTGGAGGGAGGAGGTCAGAGAAAGAGTCGCAAGCCAAGGGTGGAGGCCAGTGATGGCACTGATCGATGCCTCACAGAGGCAGTAAGGGAATGAGGCTGGTCTTCAGAGTGTGCTTGCATGTCTGAGTGTGCGTGTGAAGAATTGTATGTATCTTACCAAGCTGATGGAGATGGATTGTGGGTATATTCGTGCATGAGTGTGAGGAAAAATGAGAACCAGTTAGTTTACAAAGGTCAGGACAAATCCCATGGCCTCTGGTTCCACACAGACGTGGAGACAGGTGAGCCTTGAGCTCTAATTAGAGCCTACTTTCCACTCTCCTTACATAGGCTGTTATTAGACCACTTCCTGACTGACAAGGTGGCCAATGTGTCTCCATGGCAACACTAGCCAAGCATTATGACAACACCGTAGCCATGACTAGTGAAAATACTAGTGTACACCCCATGTGTATGGTAAGGGATAAATAACTGCAAATGCATACAGTACAATATTGCTCCTGTGTGCACTTTCAATTTGCATGTGCATGTAAATATGCACAGATAGACACATACAGACACACACATACACTAAATGCACACTGATTTATATTTAGTCATTATCTGTGAAAGCACACCAATATCTACCTGCACAGATAATCTCAGTGAGAAAATTATTAATGGAAGTCTATATTTCTCTTTCTTTCCTTTTTTTTCATGCCTTAATTGAGTTATTAGTATATTCTCATGGTGCTGAATGTCCTGCTGTATGTTTACAACAATGTATCAACATAGAGTGTTTGCACATACTTTATATGGTATATGGCAAATAAATAGCGGATAAATGCAAGCATTCAGATTCAAAGTTTACAGGCTCACATGAAATTACCAGGAAATTGCAAAAAAACAAAAAACAAAAACGGATTCAGATTTAATTTCCAACAAGCACCATATTGTAGAAGAATGTGTGCTAGTTAAAGGCATGACTTTTCTTTTTTCAACGAACTTTATTAGTCATGATGATGGAGGATATTGGTGTGATTGTGTTTGGATGTTTGCATGTGTGACTGTGTGTGTGTGTGCGCGTGTGTGCGTGTGTGTGTGTGTGTGTGTAAATGAACAAATGTGTGTGTGTCCATGTTTATGTGCAATAAATCGTGAGCAAAGCAATGAGCCCCAGGATGTGAACAAAGAGAATGTGAACACAGGATTGTCTGGGAGGACTTAATCTTCTGATTAACAACAGGAGGCTGCTGGATGTAACAAGAAAGCAAATCATATGGAGCAGTTGTAACTATGTGTATATGACAGGCCACTGTAATACCACTGAAATTGTATCACTTCAGTTTTAAAGTGGGAATTAAAGGGCAATATTTTGTGAAAACTTCATTATAACCTTCTCTGAAGTCACTGCAGGTTAACTAACATCTTAAATTAGACATCCCAACATGGAAAAATGACCCCTTACGTGGGACATCTCCTTGTTTTAGCTTTCTGTTTCTCTGGATGCCAGAGTCACTACTTTTGGACGGCATGCTGAATGACTACAGAGACAAACAGCCTCTGGACTGAGTCCTGGACATGTTACACTATACCTTGTGTCTCTCTTTCTCCTCAGGGCTTCATGTCTCATTTCCAAACTTGCTGGACAAAAACAATAAACCAGCCCTCAATCAGCTGTTGTATTATGGGTGTTACAGTAGGTAAAGATTTATGTCACCAAATAGATAGAGTACACTTTTAACTTTATATGGACTTGAGACTTGGAGGGCTCCTTGGGCTTTGGGCTGTCTCCTCTTTCATCCTCACCACTTTTACACTATTTGTGAGCCAGACAGAAGACAATAATTCTTGTGTATTCATGTACATTTTTCAGGGATGTAAATACTAAAGTGTATAATTTGGGTTTTAGTCAAAAAGCCTTTTCTTTGGCCACAATCATCTGCCGGACAGAAAATCAGCCATTGTGAGAAACTCTTAGCGAGTTGGAAAGTTACTGTAAAGAGAAGATACATGTACGTGAACTTGTGTTAATACTGTATGTGTGTACACTGTACTGTACATTTATGAACACGTGTATAGAGAAATATTAGTATTGTATAAGATTTATAATATGTGTTATTGTATAGAACAGAACAGAATCTGTATTAAAACGGTGATATAAGAATTGGTTTATCTCAGTTCACTGTGTCAGTTAATGTGTTGGTACTGTCAGTTTGCAAATGCTGAACTTTTCTCATCAGAATATTTCATTTCACAGATAAAGCCATTATATAGTGTCATGTATTTTGTCAATCTTGAAGACTTTTACAACATAGAGCAATTGCAGACTTAAAGAGACAGTTTGATTTCTTGGAAGAGGGGTTGTGTGAGGTTCTCCAATCAATAGTATTTTACCTACAGTAGATGTCCCCAGTTTGGAAAAGCAGACAGAAAAGAGTTGCACAGAAGCTAAGCAATGAACCATTCTGTACAGGGTCAGCAACAAAACATATTTTGTAGCAGTCTACTGCAGGTAGCACATAGATTATGGGTGAGTACCTCATATAACCCCACTTCAAAGAAACGGAACTATCCCTGAAATAATCCATATTATTCACAGACTCATTACAGAGACTGGAAGGTCAGTTCATATTTTGTATGTCGTCAACTCTCTGAAATCATTAGACTATTTAACAATTGACATGGATATGATGTGTAAATGAAAGCATGAATGATGACACTTGTGTGGCTCTTATGATGAGTAAGAGCCTTTTTTTTAAATGACAGCTGAAAAGTGTGCTTGGGCTCCATCATAATTGAAGCTCTTTGTCTGCAGTTTTACCAGAGAGCTGCTTGGATTCATCAACCTGGGAATTCCGCTGTCCCTTATCCTCTGGACATTACTGTCCAAATCTATCTCTTTTTTTCAGCTGTCCCTCCCTTGCTACTTCTCCTGATTCCACTCCCTGTTTCTCTGATCCCTAAATTTAGAAACTCCGTCCCAGATACTTGCAGTATTTAGTGCTGACTGTAGTGAACCCTCACTGCCTCACTGTGATGTGACAACTGTGCTAATCACCAGTACTAATGAAGATGAAACGTATTAGTAAGGTAAGCATCTGTCGAGGCAGCTCAATCTCTTGATGTTGACGCTTCATTTTTTTTTTTATTTACCAGAACAAATCTGTCTGCACATGTGGTGCGTGTCTGCATGTTTGTTGCCTTACTGTTTTTTTTTGTGTGTGTGCAGTGAATCAAAACTGTGGATTCCTCCATCCTGCTTGATAATCTCATCAGTCCCCTCCTCTTTCACACTTCCATTTTCTCCCTTGGTTCTCCTTCTCTTTATTCCGCCGGTCTGCATCTCTCTCATCTCTTATCCACACTCAGGCCTTCCAGAACAAAAGCGAGGAACAGCTGCAGTGTCTGTGAAGGAAGGAAAGTCACCTTGGGGGATGACAGTAGAACAAAAACGTGAGAGAGAGATGTAGAGAGAGAGAGAGAATGAAAGGCAGTATGGAGGGGAGATTAGGGGGGAAAGAGAGAAGAGACGGGAGGCACAGAAACTGGCATCGGGACATCATATGACTAATAAAGGGACAGCACTGCATCACTGCAGAGCCCCATTAGAAAAAAAACAGAAAGACAAACACTAAGTGCAGAATGATAAGATTAGCAGGCTTTATCATTTTATTCCGTTTTTAGCCAAGTAGAGTCTTAGAATATTGCGCCGGCCTATAGTTTTATGACAGCGTCTTCACATTTGGGTTTCATCCAAAAACATACAAGTCTTATTTAGTTGTCAGAATAGCCAACAACTAAGTATGATTTATGGCAAAACATTAAGCCAGTAGCAACTATGACAAATTTGGCCACTGTCTGAGCTTGGTAATGGATGGTAGTAAAGCCACAAAAACACTGACAGGGTTTTGAAAGGAGTAACTGCTGACCCGTTTCGTTTTTTTTGTTTTTTTTTTAACAGAGATCTTCATATGTAACTGATAGTGGATGTTATCTGATGCTCAAAACATTTACAGAGTACTTATGCATGGCATAGACCTCAGAATGGCTGGAACTGAAAGCTGATTGTGAAACAAATAACAGAAAAGTAAGGCAGTATACTAAACATGCATGTCAGTTATGTGTAGTACTGCATGCCACCCTGCACTAGAGGCAATGACACATACCAGGATGCACGTCTTCCAGATCTGTTAACGTATGCCACACAAAAGAAAGTGATACATCAAAAAATGTGTTAAAATAATTCACTTTTTCAAAAAAAAAAAAATCAATGGTACGCCATAGAAAATGCTTTGATTTCACATATATTAAATGTTATTGCAGCTGAACAAATTATCTAAAGTACTTCTAAGTACTTTGAGACTTACGTAAGTAGGGGCTTGGATTGATATTATGTCTTGATTATGGTGAGATGACCAGCAGAATGACCAGTAAAGGTCCATTACGACGTTATATTTCCATATTAAACAGGCCCTGTGGGACTTCATTATAAATCCATTGTTAATTTTACAGAAGATCGCTGGTTCGCGTCCCGGTTAGGACGCCTGGGATCTCTCTGTGTGGGGTTTGCATGTTTTCCCCTGTGCACCGTGGGTTCTCTCCGGGTTCTCCGGCTTCCTCCCTCGGTACAAAAACACGCTGAGGTTAATTGGTGATTCTAAATTTTCAGTGGTGTGCTTGTTTGTCTTCATGTGTAGGACAAACGTCCGCAGTGAACAACTCGAGCAGAGTTTTATGGTCTCCAATGGCGCCATCTTGTGTACACCTGTTAGAAAAGCACCAGCTCGACACAGCTAAATGGTAGCATTAGCTCATTTTTTTTTCAGTTTTTTTCGTTAGCTGTACTGTACTGAAATCAATAGTGAAGTCACTTTTTCTTTTGTGTCCTGTCGTTGTGGCTAAGAAACTTCTGGCGGCTTCCTCGACCTGTTGAAGACGACGTGTCATGTTAGCATAGCTGTTGAGCTAGCAAAGTTGTACGGAAAGCTTCATCGGCGTTCACTGTTGTCAGCAGAGATCACGAATGCCACAACTATCGTCATATTTAAGTTCTTAAGTTCTACGTTATATGTATGTATATCTCTACTTTGACCCCTTTGGAGACCCAGACGC